ACTCACCTGCAGGGCCCCTGGCTCCCTTCTCTTCCTCTCCACTTCAAACACAGCAGTCCAAGAGCAATTGGATATTGATTAGCTTGAAATGGAAGCAGTGTAGTTTGGCCGAAAGTGTGGAGCTAATAAATACCATGAAAATGAGTTAGGAGGAAGAAGAGCATGTTTTACACAGAGCCCTGGAGACTGAAGGCCGGCGGGCAGAGCCTGCGCAGGAGAGCACCACACTGCCAGGCAGGCAGCTGCATGTCTGCTCACTGTGGCATCGCCCCAGAACTGCAGCCCTGCACATGTATTTCTTAAGATCAAGCATTTTCTTTCCCTATTCCATTTAATCAATGTCATCTTCTGGGAATTATTTTATCTTTAAACAAACATGATTTAGAAAGAATTTTAAAAGAACAGATGCCTCACATTTCATGAGTTTTCTTCTATTGTAAATTATTCCCTGAAATATCAATGGAATTGCTCCCAACAGACAGTGGCACTGGTGACATGTAGTGTCCGCTCAGGAATACAAGTTAGCATATAAAACATCTCTGGCATCACTGTCACTCATGTTCGATTCAAGCTGACCCCACCACACCCATGCTCATCAGCAGATGCACTTGATTTAGAGGTGGGGCTGTCCATAATGAGTCCTGTTTCAGTCCTTCAGGTAACCTATCTGTATTATGTTAGTCAGCACTTACTTGTGTTTTAGATATTTCCTGATATTCTCAAATTTGTATAAAAATAAATCTTTACAAAGCCTAATTCAGAACATGATAGAAAAGCACAGAAATCTCAAACGACCAATTTGCCACTAAAGTTTTGCATGGATTAATTGTGAAGGTGAGGGTTCTTTTAAAGAAACACTCCCACACAGTAGTCATCAAGGATCATAGTGTTTCCTCGTTACACGCAAACTGACTTTCCAAATCTGCTGAACTAAATGAAAAGATGTTGTAGTCATGTCCGCTGCAGGGCAGTGAGATCCACTGCCCACAGGCCCATGGCGAAGCCAAAGCAAAGGGATAGGGGAAAAGGAAGGGAGGATTTTCTTAATATGAGAAACTTTCAAAACGTTCTCTGCCTTTTAGAAAATCTTGGAACAGGCATCTATATAGAGATAATTTTGAAATTCAGACTAGCTTACATTTACTGATAAGCAGAACTTCTTTTTTGGGTGTGAATACTGTGCCACTTTCAATTTTTCCTTTGTTTAGAATCTCTTCTTAGCATCTTCACTTATTACTTAATTAATTCAGTCAACATGTGTTTATTGTATACTTAGTACATCTAAGTCACACACTGTTCTAGGTACCTGTAAGACTGTTGGTGTAAACATAACCTTTCAGTCATTCACTGGAAGAATGAATTTCTTTTTTCTTTTCAATTTTTAACAAAACACCTTTATAAATGCCACACAATTTGCTAACTTAAAAATGTAAGATTTAATAGACCCCAGATCATTCACAATGTGTAAAATAATGGATTTCTTAAAAAACATGCTTTAGGCAAACGTAGGCAAGTGCAGGGACCAAGGTTCAATCTCTGGCACCACATGCAGCACCAGCCCTACCCCCAGGGCAGGCTGAGCCAGCCACAAAAAAAAAAAAAAGCTTTATTGTGAAGGTAAAATCACCTCTCTTAAAGAGTAGGGGAAGGCCCTGGCTCATCTTTTCTCTAAATTGCTTTCAAAATTAATAAATAAAATTGCAAATACCACGGACAACATGACGTTCATATATACATATATATTATATGCACTTTGAAGTATATATATATATATGTATTTATTTATAAGTGTACATATTATATATGTACATATACATATATGCATGCACTGGGCAGTGGATTGCTTACATTTAAGCAGCACATGCATTTCTTCACGTAGCCATTGTTGTGTGGATGGTAAAGTTAACACACACCTTCAGCCTTTTCCACAAATCAGCTTAACCTACAAATCCGTGGAGAAGAAGCTTTCAGAGCGCAGGTTTCAGATGGCATCGATGGCTGGCATCCACGTGTGTGGTGGCAACTATAAAGCAAACAGACGTAATCACACATGTGCGCCAACTGCATGCAAGGTAGAAAGAAGGCTGCCGGACAAGAAGGAGGACACGCGTTGCAGCAACCTCACGATACTTATCAGCGGACGTCACAAAGCGCACGTGTTTACACATGCTAGATGTGCGTGGGGGGTGTGATTTTATTTGTACATGTGCTCCTGAGGAAGGTCTGTGTGCAGACTCCGTGCGGAGGAGCTTCGCTGAGGCTCGTGACGGTGTCCTCTGAATTTCCAAAGAATATGAATTAAGTAACTGGTGAGATTGCTCGAAAGTCACAGCATCTGGCTTAAGCTCATCGATCACGCATAGTAACATGAATAAATGGAGACATTCATCACTATGCACACAACAGAATTGTGTTCTCCTATTGATATAATTAAATACTCATAGAAACCTAAACGCATAATAGCTTCCAGACCCTTTGTTTAATGCCAAAAATCAATGGCTCCGCTTCCAATGTACTCGATAGGCATATGTTCCTAGTCAGAACCGTCATGAACCCTCTCCAGTTTCTAAACATTTATTGCTAGTACTGTAATAATAAACATCTTGCATTTATAAAATGTAATGTTGCCTAGAATTTTTCATTTTTCAAGAATGCGGAGCACACTATCTAATGGCTCTCATATGTCCAGTGTGCCCACAAACAATTTGTCTTCGGAGCGGAGTGTTAATCTGACACCTCAAGGACAGACCTGTTTTCAGAGGGACTTACAGAAAAGCTAGAAATGCTCTCAGGCTCCAATAACTACCGAAAACCTCGTGCGCTGCGGCGGGGACTGCTAGGAGTTCTGGATCACATTACTTTTTCATGCCATTTTTTGCTTAAATAAGAGTTATTAAAGATGCTGGTGGATTATTTTTTGACTCGTTGCCGAATATGTACATACCACATACACATTTAATATATGTGCATGCATATAAAGCGGCTCTGATGGTGACATTTACGGTCCAGCGGCTTTGCTTTCCATCTGCAGGCAGCGGTGGCTGAGCGACACTAATGCTCTTTCCATTTGTGTAACCCGCTTCCACGTGATAACCCCGCAGCAGTGATGAAGGAGGCGAATATATTCTGTGCTCATAAACACCCTGGGGCAGAGCAAAATCTCCTCAAAAGACAAATCCAAGATTTTGATCTCAGGTCAAAGGTAGAACATTAAACATACAGCGTTTGTTCATTTAAAATAAACCTGTTTCTTGAAGAGTAAGAGAGAAAAGAAACCTGGGTATGCTTAATGGCGTTGTTCCGCATGAAGTGCAAAATTAAAAACTTATTTCTTAATGGAATAAAAGCTTCGTTCCTGTAAAAAAAAAAAAAAAAAAAAAAAAATGGAGCGAGAAGAAAAAATATTGAGCAAAGCCCTAAGATGCAGATTCGCACCTGAGTGCGCGCTTGCTTTTCTCATTTGACGCGCGTTGCTCCTCCCGGCCTTCCGGCGTGGGGCGCCGCCTGAACCCGCTGGCCAGCGCTCGGCCCCAGAGCAGCCTGTCATCAGGGACAAGGACAACGCGACGCGGCCTGGCTCACACTCGGACTTCGCCGTCCCATTAGCTCAGCCCTTAGATTTAAGAATAAGCTCAGCGCCCGGCACGATTGCTAACTCTCTGGCTCCATGCTGTTTCTAATGTTCTTTCTGTTGCTTAACATGTGAAAACACTTAACACAACGATTCGAAAAAGAGGCAACTTCTCAGGTGCAAAAAGCGTCCCGAGTCCTCATGGACATAATGTCACGCTTCCTTACGCTGCCTTCCCGGGTCGTTTTACTTTCTTATTCGAAATGGACATGCAGGGTTTCAGAGCTGTTTCTGATATGGAGAAAGCTAAAAGCAACGTGTAAGGCGGAAACAGATTTCCACAGAGCAATGTTTGACTGCTTTCTTCGCCACTTGCCTTTTGGCAGCGGCTCTTGCGCACAGGCCCAGCAGGTTCGTGCGCTCCGAAGCTCAGCTCTGGACGCTCCGCCGGCCGTCGCCCACAGCCTCGCGCGGGCCGAGTCGCTGGAGCAGAGCCGGGCGGGGGTCCCGCGGCGTGATTTTCCACCAGCCCGGAGGAGAGAGTCGCCGAGAGTGCAGGTACCTCTTGTCACTCTTCAGAGCACTTTCCTGCTGACCTCTGCTTGACTGCAATGACAAAACGAAGACAGTCCAAGCAAAGCTTCCTACATTTACTAAGGCTGTGCTTCACGCAGTGAAACCGAGAGAGAAGTGCTCTTGGATTAATGTTATTTTACACTCTTTTCATGTTTTACATATATGTGGGCATATAGTTACATAGATTGATCGTAGGAGTAGATACATTGGTTGGTAGATAGAAGACAGACAGACAGACAGACAGACAGACAGACAGACAGACAAATAGCCACACAGCTGCATAGAGAGCGTAGCTCTGTTAGCAGCAAGTGCCCCAAGCTCATGAAGAATCGCGCTGTTGTTGGCTGCGACAGTGAAGCCGACCGCACAGGTGTCACGGTGAAGACATTTTCAGGGCTGCGTGTGGCCGCGGGCCTCCTCGTGTCACAGTACACGTTAGGGACCAGTTACTGAAAGCTGCGCCTCTGCAGATTTCTTGCTGGAATTTTGCCTCTTTTGTATGAGTGATCAATAACCCATATAACTGTTTTGCCATTTAACTTTAAAACACAATAGAAATTAAAATGTCTTGCATTTAACTGTCAAAGTTTCATGCACCCCAGTGAAAACCAAGACTTGGGAAAAGAATGGAACAAGTATATAATATCTTAAAATGGATCAATAAAGACATTATATCCAATATTAGGTGATTGATTACATTTTGAAAACTTAAAAATTTGTAAGTCTTTCATGAAATTCTTATATAAATGCATTCTTTACAGAAAACATATTATTGGGGCTGGGGAGATAGCTCAGTAGAATAAACACTTGTCTGGCAAGCACAAGGGCTTGAGTTCAATCCCTGTTCTGCCAAAAAAAAAAAAAAAAAAAAGAAAGAAAGCATAATATTTCCTAATGTTCATGTGCTTGATGCTACTTAGAATTTTCCTACTACTACAAATACATAGAGAACAGACAACACCTTACTATTGAACTATCATTATTACTTAAGCCATGTTCCTTTCATGATACCAGAACAGGCTCCTGTGTGTATTCCCTGGATCTTGGTAGCGGACTTCATCAGCTTCACTTTGATATGCCTCCTCGACTAAAAATGGTGGCCCAGGAAGAATTCCATACTCTGCCAAAGCTGGAAGAGTTTCCTCTGCCAGTGTCCCACCAAGTGGCATGCATATGAATGGAGTGACTCACTCAGGAGGATTGGTAACATCACAAAACATAAGCAGAATACTTTAAAATCCATTATGAGAGATGACAATTGAGACTGAGTGTGCTGGTGCGTGCTTGTAATCTCAGCACTCGGGAGGCTGAAAACAGGAGGATCACTATGAGTCCAATCTATGTAGTGAGACCCTGTAGACCCTGTCCTACATACAGAAAAAAGAAAGAAAGAATCCATTATAACAAGATAAATAATCCTACCAGCTGCTAGTTACATATTAGATTTTCTTTGCAATTACTTTCTAGCATTTAAAGACAGACATTTCTGCTTAGGGTGCCCTTCTTGATCTTGCTCACACTTAGGTCACACCATTTACCCTTAGGGAAGGACAGAGGCACTCCAGAGAACTGAAGCACGGTAGCCATGGGGGAGCTGCTGTCCCGAGGGGAGGGGCCACCTCCCTGGTCAGCATCTATGTGAAGGGCACCTGGCAGCGTGTCCCCACACAGGGAGCTTCTGTCTCCCACATCTCACAGGGTGGGGGAAGTCTCTCCACGTTTTACTGTCTATTCCTTGAAAAACAGTGGTACTTCTTTTCCAGCTCTGATAATTAACTCCTGGGATTTTAATGAATCTGATATAAGGCCACACAGAACACAGCATGCAAAGGAATGCTACTCTTTTTTAAGTTAGACTCTGCAGAAAAAAACACTTTGTCACTTCACTGCTTTTCCTTTGTGCTCATTGTGAGATGTTGAAAAATGAGGAATTGGAAGACAGTAACCTAACCACCTCAATCATAGAGGAAAGTTGGGATAATCCCGAGGGCAAGGAAAATTTCCTCACGAATAAGAAACAATTTGTACAGTGCACACAGAACACTGGCTACTGGAGCCAGCCACTGGCCTGGACTCTCTTCACAGGGCTGATGGAATTGGACTGGACTGGGGCAAGGGCCATGGAAAGCATGAAGGGACCCCGTGTGGACAGTGTACGAATGAAAGGTGTTCAGTTGGTTGAACTGTGTTTGGGAGGAATGGGAAGGACTGAAGTTGTACAGCTTGGGTCGTGGGGAAAAGCATAATACTTCCTGATTCTCTGCACAGTGTAGACACGGCTTTGCATGCCTTTGCACGGGGATGGGGATTACACCCCTGATTCCACACGTGCTTCCCCAAGGAGAATGCCACCACCACCAGGCACTGTTGGCTTTCCTTGAGTGGCCTTGGAGATGGAGACCTGAGGACAGCACGTGTAGACTTGCGCCTCGGGACTGAACTGCTTTTCCACTAACTTTAACAAGAGTTGCTAGCGCAGCTCTGGATGCCGGCGAGCACGACTTCAACTCAGCGAGTGCCTCTGCCTCTGGATGGCTCTCTAGTGAAAGAGGGAGGTGGGTTGTTGGAAAGAATCCTTGGCATGGGAGTGCTTGGCACCCTGTTGAGTTGCCTCTTGTCTGCCTTAAAAAAATGTTCACTGGTTGTCCAGACATTGCTGCACCAGGGCTGCACTTGACTGAAGAGGATGCCAAACTGACCCGGAAAATGACTCAGTGGAGGAGCAAGCTCACCCCAAATCACCGTGCACACGTGTGTCACTCACATTAACAATTGACTGTGGTGTGTGTTTGCATAGGGAAAGAATGGGAATTGCTGTTTGTTTATTTCTAGTGATCCAATGTGCTTGGCAGTGTTTGATTATAGGGGCATGTTTCTAATTGCAGCTTTAAAGTAAGTGAAAACATGCAGGATGATAGAAACCACTAATGAAATCAATACTTGGGGGGAAACATGCATTACTATTTTTCAGAATGCATTGATTTAATTAGTGGTTCAAGCCCATAACATATGATAGTAAATATAGATCATGTTTGATTTAGCTAATAATCATTATTACCAGTGGAATATCTTGTGAACAATAAAGTCGTAAGACAATAGGAACATTACATTTTTTCACTGTTCTTTAAATGGTGAATATCCCTATGCCTAATGAAGTAGTTAGACAGGATAATTCTCAAATACACTTCTTATTTCATTATATATACACATCCAAAGCTCAGTTTCATACGTGCTGTTCATGTTTAGAACAAAAACGGATGTCTAGGGCTGGAGACAGCTCAGTAGCATAAGCGCCTATCTGGCAAGTACAAGGTGCTGAGTTCAATCCTACAAAAAAATTGAAAACAAGAAGGTTGTTGTCTAAAATTATTTTTGATGTCTGTTCAGAGAAGTTGCTTATTTTTTAAATACTATGTTGAGAAATTCATAACTTAATCATTTATTCCATGAGCATATTGTTCACAAATTATTTTGTTTCAATGCCATGATAATGAACCATATAAAGGAGTTTTAGATAATAAATGTAATAATTGTGACTCATACATCCTATTTTGTACCTCTTGTTTTATCTGACAAAGAAATTAAAATCTTAAATATATCAAAGCGATTCTGGAGACAGCTATTGTAAAGTGAGGTTTTGTAAAAGGAATTATTTGTATCTTTATTACTGAAATTTTAAAAAAGGAAAGTGATACATCTGTAATATTTACATTGAGCATGTTTATCATTTTGCACAGGGTAACATGGCAGAGACCTCGGAATTTGGAGGAGGATGAAGGTGAAAAGCCCACAAGTCCTCTCATTTCACAGGCCCTGCTGGGAGCTTCCACATGTCCACATGTGCCGGAGAAGTGAGCCTTTCATGAAGCACACGTGATGTGACCCCAGGCTTCTGCAGTTTGTGTGGGTGAAACAACACAAAAAAGACCATAAAATAAAATTTAAAATAATGATAGAAAATCGAGCCCCTACTTTTTATGTATAAGATTCCCAGGTAAGAAGCCAAACTGAAAATATGAAAGAACTTAGCAGTTTGGAGGTTACAAGGAAAGTTAAAATTCTACATTCTTTATTCTTTAAATGTTTGGATTTGCTAATCCTTGCCTGTTCAATGAGAGGATAAAGCCTTAGAGGACTGCGAAGTTTTCCCACAAAGGGGGAACGTGCCGCCCTGCTTGGGTGCGGGCTTCCAGCCCCGGGCAGGCTGTGAGGGCACACTGCCAGGAGTCGCCGGACACTCACGCAGTGACTCAGACAGCCCCAGCAGCTCCTGCGCGTGGGGACACAGGGGCCGCTCAGCCATGTGCTCTTCTGGGACATTGTCACCTGCCACCTCCAGTCTGCGAGAGAGAAGTGGGCGCAAGTGGCCGAGGAGAACCGCTGTGCCCAGGGGGGACTAAGTGCTGTTGCCGGCCTCCTCCAGCCAGGCAGGGGAAGGGGCTCCGACTGTCCTGAGGTCTATCTAAGCAGATTTATTTTTAAATTTATTTAGTACAGGGTCTACAGGGTCTCACTGCTCAGCTCGGACCCGTAGTGACCCTCCTGTTTTCAGCTTCCCAAGAAGTGCTGGGATTACAGGCACACACCAGCACGCCCAGTCTCAATTGCCCTCTCAGCATACCCTGGGGCAGGGCTGGCACGGCAAGCAGGTGTCAAACCCTGTCACTGTGTCAGCCTAAGCAGGCTCTTTAGTCCTCTGAGCTATCTGGCCGGCTCTATGAAAGATGATTTTACTGAGTGAAGCACATGCTGTGAATCCAGGAAAGGGGATAAATAGAATTAATATCATTTTATCAATTATTTTTACATGTAGTTTTTCTGTTAATAAAAAGTTTTATAGAATTATAGCTGGAAAATTTTGTTAATTTATTTCAGGTACTAATTTCTTGATAAATACCACCTAGTTTTTCATTTCAAAATTCCTTACACTATATCCCAGTATATTTTTTAACTAATGTTTATCAAAAAAAGCATATCTTTTCTATATTTGGAAGCATATTTTCTGCATATAAAAAGTTTATTTAAGTGTGAAGTTTTATATGCATGAATGAGTATAAGGTATATGAATTTTGGATTTTATATTCATGTGTGATTGTGTATAAATATATCTTTGTATGAATATATTTATACATAAATTTCCAGCCTCTCAAGTTTCATTAAAATATAGCTATAAAATAGCAAAATGATTCTTGGATACTGAAGAGCACCCTGAGTGACAGAGAGAGACACACAGGCAGGGAACGCAACCTCCTTGTCCGTAGCAGAACTGTCCCCTCTCTACTGTCCCACACCCTGCACCTATTTATATAATGTCTACTTATGCTTATCCCTTGCTTTTGCCTTGTGGCATAAAATATGCTTACATATTTGAGACAGCTTTGAGGAATGCAGCGATGTTGGCAGGGTGAGGGGAGCCGTGGTCGTGGGGACCAGAGTGGGGATCTGCGTGTGAGCAGGACTCTGGTCACCATGCGTGTGGGAAAGCACTCTGCAGTGATGTGGAAACCAGGGAAGTAAGCCCACGACCTCATGCTGGAGAAGCCTATGAGGCACCTGGGCACCAGTGACCATGGAAGGTTCTAGACCACGCGATTTGGGGACTAGCTCCTGGAAGGCTAAGGGTGAACGCTGCCTGGGTGAAAGGTCAGTCAGTGAAGAGCTGAGTCTGGACGCTGCTGTGTGTTCAGGTCACACTGCGCGGCACCTAAAATGTGCTCCAGGACATCGCTTGGGGTGGGGCCATGTCTCCATGTCCCTTTAGAAGGAGTTGGGGAGCAGAAGCAGATGGCGGAGGAGGACAGAAAAAGAAGAGGGGCAGGAAGAGGGAGATGAAAAGGAGGCTGTAACACAGAAGTTGTTTAACATGAGAAAAACACAGAAAAAAAAAGCCACTTTCGTTATTCATTTCAGAGGTGCCTGCCTTTGTCAGCATTTATCTCAGAGTAGAAGACAGAAGCACTTGGTGCCAAAGCCAGAGGACAGGAGGATGTCACCAGTGGACAGCAGCTCAGCTCTTGCGATGATCACACTGTAAATCTTCAAGCCTTCAAGAGATGCTCCAAACAACAGCAAAAAGCAAGAAGCAAGCAAGAAAGATTGCAAAAAATGACAAAATGACTGTTGTCTGAAATCTAAATGTAAACACTGGTGCATGATGTTTTTGTAGATTCTAATTGTTGTATTTTATGAAGTAGAATGCTACAGAAGCAAATCCCTCACAGCATGAGCAACGGTCCTGCCCAAGCCCACAGCGTTATCACACGAGGTGATGAAATTTATGTATCTGTATCTATCTATCTAGCTATAGATATAGATATAGATATATATTTATATATATATTACTTCAGTTCTGACAGGGAAACTGTGCATTATAAAATTCAGTGTCTGATATGGTATGAGAAATATAAAGTTAAAG